CAGCGAGGCCTGGGTGGCAGCAGCCTCCCGAGGCCTTGCTACAGAGCCGGGCGCAGGGGGGAACAGCGAGGCCCGGGCGGCTGCAGCCTCCCGGGCTTTGGTTTGGAGCCGGGCACGGGGGGGGGAGAGGCAAGGCAGGGTGGAGGACACGGGCAAACAGCGGGATGGGGGGGTACTTACCTCCTCCTCCTGCTTCCTCTGCCTCCCTCCGGCGAGTGTCGCGGGTCCACCCCTTGTTCCAACTAATATGCACAAGGAGATTGTGTACCGAGTCCACCGTAGACACCCAACTACTGAAAATGTCAGGCAGCAAGGGAATCAGTGTGGTGGGCAGAGTTTTCAGCTGAAATAGAGGAGATGGTAAAAATATGCCATGTCTGCATTCAAGAGGCTACATGAACTGTATGTTCTACGTTTCCATGGAATACCTGAGGATAAGAATGAGGACTTAAAGGAACTTTTGGCGGTTGCCTTGGCCCCACTAATGGATTATAAACAAGAAGACTTAATTAAGGAAATGGGTGTGGTGTACAGGACTTATCCGAATTTTATAAAGAAAAATAAACTCCCAGGGGAAACTTACTTAAAATTCACAAAACGATCAACCAGAGAACTGGTGCTAAAGTCAACAATAGGAAAATCCTTAAAGATCAAGAATGAAGAGATAAAATTTTTGAAAGACATCCCATTTGAAGTAAGAAAACGGAGGAAACTATACAGAATGCTTACTCTCTCCCTGCAAAAAAAGGGAACACAGTATAGATGGGTATTCCCGGAAGGGTTGAGTTTTAATTACCAGGATAAAAAATATAAAATTGACTCTGTTCCAAAAGAGGAAAGATTTATGGATCAAATGTTTAATGTAAAAAAGAAGCAGAAGGAAAAGAATTTAAAACCGGATGCGGAGGAAAAAGAAGAAGAGGAGTCCTACTCACAGGACTCAACAAACCAAACTTCCTCATCATCAGAATCATCTGAATTGGAGAAAGGAGCAGCAACTCCCAAACTGCAGAAAACGACGAAATCTAAGAAGAAAAGTCTCTAAAACTAAAGCATGAGTGCTAAGGGCAGTAATTGTGCCAAGCTAATAACTTTATATTTTTATAATCAAACTAATCTCTGTATAACCTGTAGTAATAGATTAAAAAGATCTATTTTTTGAGCTTTTCGGATTGTGATTTGTATTAGTCTTTACCCTATCTCCATATCCAGTAGGAGATTCAGATCTCAACAACAAAAAGATCTCCCTGACCCATTTCCCATAGTGATAGGGCATTAGTATTCCTTTCCCCACTCCATTTATGTAATGTGTAGTATGTAGAAAATGCAAAAATAAAAAAATTCCCCTTTGGGGGGGGGTTAAAAAAAAAAAAGAGGCTACATGAACCTTTAATGCCACTGGAGTTTCCAGAGAGGCCTTGGCAAAAAGTGAGACTTGATCTGTTTCATTGCCAGGGGAATTGGTTTCTCCTAGTCATAGATTAGGAAGGAAGCTAACCTGGACAGAGTGAGGCTTTAAGGTAGAAAAGCAAGGGGAAGACACAAGATTTATATGTATCAACAATGCAGAATGAGTTGACCATGACCCTAGCAGAAAACCATAACAGCTGACAAGCAGGATAACTAATGAGGTACAGCTGAATGAGGGATTATTGTACAATATCCAGAAACATGAACTGAAATGTTGGGTATTCCTTGCTCTTTAGGGGTTGTCATTCCAGTCACAGAGAACTGATTCTGATCACAAGAACCATCTTTCAACTCTAGGGTCTATCATTCCAGTCCTAGAACAGTTTTTCTACTCCCAGGGAGAGGGACCTTTCTTCCAATCTGGAGTCTCTCAATCCAGTCCCAGAACAGTTTTTCTATTCAAAAGGACTATTATTCAAATCTGGTGATTGTCACACCTTTCCCAGAACACTTATGCCAAACCCAGTGATCATCATTCCAGTGGGGGGGGTGGGCTGTAATTTGAGTCCCAGAATACTCAAACTGCTACCGAGAACCATAATTTCATTCTAGGAGCTGTCATTGCAGATCCAGAACACTCATGCTACTCCTATCCCATTCTTCAGGATGTCATCCCAGTCCCAGAAGAGTTATGCCACTCCCAGATGGTCATTGCACTCTGGGGGCTCCATCCCAATTCTACAGCAATATATAAGGGCCTTCATTCCACTCTGGAGGCTGTCCCAGAATACATATGCCATTCCTCCCACCATCACTTTACTGTCAGGACAGCCATTCCAGTCCCAGATCTTTCACTCTGGTGGCTGTCCTTCCAGTCCCAGAACACCTATACTATTCCCAAGGGCTATCATTTCACTCTGGGAACCATCATTCCAGTCCCAGAATAGTTTATCTGGGCCCAGGGACCTTTATTCCAGTCTGGTGGCTGTCTTCCCACTCTGAGGGCTGTTTTTCCAATCCCAGAACACTTACACCACTCCCAGGGACTGTCTTTCCACTCTGGGGGTTGTCATTCTAGTCCCAGGGTTGTCATAAGTCAGCTATGACTTGACAGCAAAAAAAAAAGGGGGGGGATAGGATTGCCACCTCTGGGTTGGGAAATTCCTGGAGATTCTGGGTGTGGAACCTGAGGAGGGTAGCACTTGGGGAGGGGAGAGACCTCAGCAAAGTATAATGCCATAAGAGTCCACCTTCCAAAATATTTTGTTCAGGGGAACTGATCTATGCAGCCTGGAGATCCATTGTAATTCCAGATCTCCAGCTACTATCTGGAGTTTGGCAACCCTAGGTCATAACTCCATTCTGTGGGCTGTCATTCCAGTCAGAGAGCACTTCTTCCATACTCAGTCAGGAACCATCTCTCCACTTGTGACTTTCATTCCAAACCCAGAGCAGTTTATCTGGTTCCCAGGAAAATCGTTCCACATGGGGGCTTGAGGGCTGTGATTCTAGTCCAGGAGCACTGATTACACTCTGGGGGCTGTCATTCCAGTCTCAGACCACTGATTCTTGATTCAGGGACCATACTTCCACTCTGGGAGCTGTTATTCCAGTCCCAGAGCAGTTTGGCATGGCCCAGGGGCCGACACTCCACTCTGGGGACTTACATCCCACACCCATGTTAGGTTTCTCAAAATCCATGCACATTTTCATTGCAACTTGTTTGTAATTGTTTTTAATGGAGCTCATGATGGAAGTAAATTGGCATTCCTCTCCCACTATATCCAATGGGCCTTCAGGCATATCCCTTTTATCTCAGTAGGCATTCTTGTCATTCCTTTAAGTACATCCCTTAATTTTTCTTTCTTTTCCGTTCCTTCCTTCGCTCCTACTCAAGGAGGTTCAACTGCATTAAGGCAACAGTCAACCCCTAGCATTTGTCACCAACGACTCTATTGTTAAGGGTGCTCTGAATGCAGGAAAGAAGAAAGTCATAACGTTCCACCAGCAACCCAAAACTCTGCAGTAGGCAGTAAAGCAACTGTATTCATTAAGTCACATCACTTGTCACGGGACTGGCTTCCTAATGAACAAGCGTCAGATTGCGCTCCAAATGCTGCTCAGTTTAGTAGGATTTACTCCTAAACAGACATTCGTGAGAATACGGGACCGCTCATGGTTAACCCATTCTTAACCTCACAGTTGTGACACAAGACTATTTCTCTTTCCCGTCGACTCGCCATCGCTCCGCCCGCCATGGCGTTCTGCGGAAGCGCGTGCTGAGGTGGGGCTTGTTTCTAGGAAGTGAAGTTACACGCAAGGCAGAAGACACGCGTTTGGCGCCTGTGCGTTTCCCGGCTGGTGGAGGAGGGGTTAGGGCAAGATGGCTGGATCCACAGGTCTGTGTTGGGGGGTCTCGGCACGGCCGGGGTGTGTGTGTCTGTCTCGGTGGGAGAGCTGCGTGTATTTGGGGTGGTGCTGCCGAGTTGTGCTCACTCGGTGCAGAGCGGCCGGTGCCAGTACAGCCTTGGCAGGGGGTTTCAGGCTGGAGGAGGAAGGTGAGGAGGCCGCGGGGCTGGCGCAGGGAGAGCGCTCGCAGCGTGGGGATGCACTGGTGGAGGAGCCTTTTGTTTGGGGACGGGGGCGGATTGTTTATTCAGGGGCTTGAGCTTTCTCTGGGAACGCCTGCAGGATTTGGCTTAGGGTAGTTGGAGTTTGCTTCATAAAGAAGGGAATAGCTCTTTTCTTTGAGTACAGTATTAATGAATGATGTTGGTGGTAGAGGGAGATCTCAGGTCTCTAACTTTCCGACCTCGAAAGGGTAGGTATTGGGGGGAGATGTATGTATCTAAAGAGGAGGGCAGTTTTTGTGTACTGAAATTAAATCCAGTATGCTGTCTCCATAACTTTACTGATAGTGTAGTAATCAGTGCAGTGTTGGGGGGGATATATCTTGCTTATAAAATTTAGTTCTAAGTAATACTGTTGCTTCCAACTTTTCCTGTCTGTGGTCTTGTTGGCTAACTGCAAAACTCAAAAAGGAAACCTGGTTTTGTTCACTGCAGTCTGTCTGTGGTGAAACTTGAGCTTTTTTTGCATTTCATTTGCTTTCTAGGATTTATCTCTTCTCCCCTCCCCCAATTTCCCCCCCCCAGAGTATTGTAGAAGAGTGATCCCCCCCACTCTTACTTTGAGAATACTAACCATGACACATCAAACTGGTATTAAAAATGGTTATCTGAGTAATAATACATGGTTTGATTCCCAAGGGATTGTGGTAATCTCTTCTTAGATACTGGTATAAACCATCTGATCATAGATGGTGATATAAAATTAATGAATTGTATTCAACTACTACTTGGATTTAGACTATGGTAACATGGAGATGGTTTGTGACTTGGATCTTTCACAGCAGTGATGGATGCTGAACTCCTTAAAATGTTTTGGCCCTAGCATGTGACTGTTGATAGGAGTATGGTAGGCTATATATATTCTAAACCAGTTTGGTGTAATGGTTAAGTGTGCGGACTCTAATCTGGGAGAACCGGGTTTCATTCCCCACTCCTCCACTTGCACCTGGCTGAATGACCTTGGGCAAGCCAATAGTTCTGACAAGAGCTGTCCTTGAAAGGGCAGTCCTTGAAAGAGCTCTCTCAGCCCCACCTACCTCACAGGCAATACTCCTTCTAAGGTGTGGAGTTTTGTGAGCGAAGACAAAAATGCGTGAGCCGGAGGCTAAAAACTGTGAGCTAGCTCACACTAACTCAGCTTAGAGGGAACACTGCTCACAGGGTGTCTGTTGTGGGGAGGGGAAGGGAAAGGAGTTCGTAAGTCGCTCTGAGACTCCAAGTGAAGGGTGGGGTATAAATCCGATATCGTCTTCTTCTTTTTATAAACATTTTTATCTAAAAATGTATTAAAATACATGAGCACTATGTTTTGTTTTCCTGATTTATTACTTCTATCTTGCTCTTCTTCTGTCATGGAACTCAAGGTAGAGTCCATAAGAATTCACAGGAGACCTCCCCTCAAGACCCAGACCCGCTTTGGTTTAGCAAAGCTGTTGCTTCATGTGCTTCCAGCTATCACCTGGGACTGCACACTAAACTGTATGTTACCATTACTTCAATGGAAACCATTCATTCAGTGTCCCCCAAAAGCTCCTTCATTTAAACTTTGCAGAATATATATTTGTTGGATTTTAATTGACAGAACTATTAATAATTGTTTTGGCCAATTTCTGTCTGTAAATATACCTTTAACAATTTAGAAAGTAGCAAAAAATCACCTCAGCAACCTGAGGAGCTGTCTCAAGTGGGTTTTAGAGAAGCTGTATATACATTTTCTGCATACATTTTAGAAACAAATTGCTATTACATTTAAGCCACAGCATCAATCCTTGTCATAAAATGTTACTCAGAATAAGGTCATGCAGTGCTTCTGAAAGAACCTTGGTCAGCTGACGAGCGGGCTTTCAATGTTTGGGACAAATTTTGAGTGAAGGGGACATACATGGTGAACCTGAAACAGCCATGAGATACAGAAGACAAATCCATAAGTATGTACAGCACAAAATGAACTGTTAAAGCTCAAAACTAGTACTACTGGGAGCAGCAATTTAAACAGTAACATCAAAAGAGAACAGGCTGTGATTTCTGCATCGGGTGGGGCACTACCACAAGGTCTCCACATTGGATTACAGATAAATTCCTTGGTGAACAGGGTAGAGTACAAGGGTGAGATAACTGGGTGTAATGAAGCAGGCATACCAGTTATTAATATGTACTAAATTTGTTCTTAAGGATAGAATTTGCTTTGCCAAATGGATAGTGCAACACTATTTTAGAAAACTGATAGTATGAGTTGAATCCTCAGAATGATGCTGTCTTGCATTTTGAGATATTGAGTGACAATCAAATTATAGCAGTAAGCTGTTTTGAACCCGAAGCTTTTGGACCTGCCTGATTACTACTGTGGCCAGAGCAACAATAAAATGTTGCCATTATGTCTGGCTGCCTGACTGGCCACCTCTCATAAAAGTAGTGAGGACATGATAACAAATTGGTAACTGAACAAAAAAATCCACAATATTTTAAATGGCAGTCATCCCTTCTACAGTTCCCAATGCAAAAGTTACAAAAAATTGGTTCCCAGAAAGCATCTAAATATTGTACTGCCTTGAAGTCCCATGTCTGATATGGAGTTGTGATGGGCAAGTTGTTAATCTCAGCCTTGGCTCACCATCTGTAAATGGGGATAACTTTCATAACATTTTTGTGATGTAAAATACAATAAGAGTGTATAGACACTCAAGGTCCCTCCTGAAGCTTGCGTAGTTGTGGCTGTGGGAGAAGAATGGAAGGAGGAAGGTGTCTCTGGAATTATAGGGGAATTTCAGACGGCCGATATGTTCCGTTTCAGGAACTGTTCACTAACCGTTTCCGTACTGACATTTCAGGCAGAACTGTTTTAGTAACGGTTCCCTAACAGAATATATTGACCCTTTCAGACACAAATGCTCCTGTCCCGTTAGGGAAGCATTCCTGAGTCGTTTTACCAGCAAACTGCTTCCAAGCGGTCTTCAATTTTCTATACCGTTCCTGAAGCACTATGGGGTGCTGTGTAAAATGCCCCCATAGCGCTTCATCCGATGACAAGGTTTTCCTGCCCTTTTTCGCCCATGTGGGCGATCTCCATCTTTTTAAAAATGTTCTTTTAAGAGCGCTATAGCGCTATAACACAACACCAAAACAGCACAATAGCGACCCCATTGGAATGCCTGGAGCACTGAGATACATGAGATCACTACATCTGGGGAGAACAGGGATTTCAATGGAGTATAATGCCATGGAGTCCTCCTTCCACACCATTCACTGTATGCCTGAGAACTGATATCTGTAGACAGGAGATAAGCTGTAACTCTGCAATGCTTCCTCTAAGCTGTGGAGTCCTGTGAGCAAAAATTCCACTTTGTGAGCTACTGGCATTAGAATTGTGAGCAGGTTATTTGGCTACTGCATAAATTAGTTTGCTCCGGAGCCATCCTTCCTGAGCTAAGACAAAAACGTGAGCTGGAGGCTAAAAAACTGTGAGCCAGCTCACACTAACTCCACTTAGAGGGAACACTGGCTGAAAATACAGGGGATCCCCAGGTCCCCCCTTGAGGCATGGCATCCTGAAATGCTGAATTCAGAACCTATAAAGGTTAGTCAAGAATAGAAGAGGGCCAACTCTTAAAATCTAATTATGAAACATAAAAAATATACATGTATTTATTAAACACAAATTAAAATAACGAATAAGGGCCTAGTCATACCTCATATACAAATATAAAAACATACAAAGCCTGATGAAATAGACCTAACGCGTTTCGGCCTTTACAGGCCTTCCTCAGAGGTCTAATACAAATAGAACATGTTGGCTGATATGTAAAAATATATACAATCATACATATACAGAATATGGAATAGAGACCAGAAAACAATTGCTGTAAAAATAAAAGAAATAGACAATTAGACACATATACTACAACTAACAAATACATAGTAAATATATTATCAAACAAAAAACCATTGATTTACTGAGCTGATCAGGCTGTGCATCAGAGAATCTAATTTATCTCTACTTGAGTGAATCCATGATTAGATATGTTCTTTACCAATGCTTTGACAACAGTTGAAGACTTCTACAATAGAGTTACAGAAGTATTTTTAGGTCTATTAAGAGTCTTCCTACCAAGAAAGAAGTGGTGTGAGGAGAGTGTAGGCACATTGGCTTCTGCTGCATAAGGGGAACCTATAGTCTTCTTAATCTCATCAAATCAGGAGGGCTGTGAAGGGGCTACCCTACTAACGCTTCCAGTTTTAAATATCTCTTGCAGTGGCATTGGTCTCAGCACATAGACTTTTCAGTTTGGGGTTTGAAAAGTAAACTTATATTAGTTCATAATATTTTGTAGCTCATAGTAAGTCAGGCTCTTGCCACTTTACTGTGCAAAGGGCATTATGATTTGTTTTCGTGTTATTGTAATCCTGTGAGTTTTCATGACACTTAACTCATACATAGAGCTTTTTTCTGTTCAAAGTGCCTAACATATTATTTTGCTATCCTTCAAGCAACCCTGTAACATAGACCTATATTGCAATTATAGCTTGGGGACAATGGATTGCTTAAGGCCAGCTGGTGCACACAAAATTTAAACTGGGAACTTCCTGTTTCATAGTCACATTCTTTTACCCACTTTGCTTCATCCTATTGTCCCAGCAATGGCCACTGTACATTTAGGAAACAGATTTTAAAGAAGGTTGGACAAAAAGAAGACTGCAGTTAACCACTGATCAGATTCCTTTAGCCCAAGAGGTGCTTGCTGATTGCTGATATTTCTTCAAAGAATGCTAAATTATATAGTTCTTGACAGGATCCAACAATAGTTTCCTTTTGTTCTCGATAAAGAACTGATATATGGAATCACTGCAGATCTGTAATGCCTTTACTAAGAGATCCTTAGAATGTCCTCTTGTTCTTCAAATGTAAAAGAAGTTGGTGAACCATGTGGAATTTAGTATAAATAAATTAGAAGGTGGTCACTGGTTTCCACACAATGGCTTGCTCCAGGCTGCCAGAGACTTCTAGTTAAAGTTAACCCAGCTTTGTCTAGTGTTATGCAGTGACTTTCAGTACAAAAAGTGCAGAATAGTTTTCGGTGGTCCACTATTTCTACACAACACAGAAGTATCACATTGAATTGGTGGTGGTGGTTTGTATATTCTTTTGTTCTGGAAAAAAATCCCAGAAGAATGAGACTGTAGTGTGATTTTAATTTTTTTACAAATATTGTACTGACATTAAAAGCAAAACGTAGGTAGATATGAGATCAGTGGAATTATTTGATATTGTCGTTGTTAACCAAATTAATATTTCTTCAATAACTTCACAGGAAATGAAAGTATTATAATGATATATAGTTCAAAAATATGCAAAAAGGAGGGCTACTAAAATTTTGTGTCTATATTAGCTGTGGAAATAGGTTCATAAGTTACTAGTCTACAAAATAATGTAGTAGCCTGCCCACTGAAATGTGAATTTCAAAACCACTTTTATAAAAAAGAAAAACTCAGAAATATTGTTATGTTGTTATAATAACTTTTTTTAAAAAGAGGTTCACATTTATTTGTGATTTGAATGGCACATACAGAAACAGCACAGCTACAGTTTCATAACAGCTTTTAAATTGCAAGTTTCCCATCACATCATCTAACTGACCAAAGATAAAATTATTTTGTCCAAACAAGCATTTATACCAAAACAGTGCAGGGCTCTGCAGGTGTGTATCTGTGTTCCCTTGCTCTTAATTTGAGCCAATATTTGATAGAACTCAGACTAGGACTTGTTTAGTGCCCGGGTTCAGTCCAAAAGCATGAGATATAATAGATGGCCTATCTGAATGAATTAAATGCGCTTTTTAATTCATTTAGTAGCCAAAACAAGGCTGGCATACTGCTCAGATTCCATTCAAGAGCAATTTTCTTTGAAAACACACAGAAAATGTCAATAGCTAATCAAAGTTTACATCTTTCCTCGTGATTTTGCCTGAAGTCAAGGAAAAAGTAAGTAAAAGAGCAGTTATACTAAAGGCAAAGACCATGCTCACAAAGCACAGACAATTTGCTGTCTGACTTTATCAATTTTCTGGGACCTGATCATGCAAAAAGCATGTAAATAGCAGAGGTCTTTGCATAACAAAACAGGAAGCTTCTGGAACAGAAGTACTCTTTCAGTAACTGATAGAAGTTCAGTCAGCACTGAACTGAAAAATAATTTTAAGGGCTATACTTGGGCTGGCCTAAGTTCTGTAAAGCAGGCACTCTCAATCATCACCTGATCACTTGGGGACAATTTTTGGTAGCCAATGGCAACCCAGTGCCTAAATAACAAGTGTTTATGTTCCTTATGGCCTAGGAAACCTATCCTAGTCTAGATATATTTTATTTTGTGACATTATGTTTGAGGAGTGAAGCTTAGCATTAAAAGAGACTGATGCAGTCAAAAAGCAATCTAAACACAATCCTACCGGGGTAATTTTGCTTACAGGAGAGCAGCTGGTGATAATAGCATCGTCGCTATTGTTTTTCAGTCCTCTTTCCCATACTTAAAACTCATCACTTTTCAGGTCTTATTTTTCTCAAAGGCTTCTTGAAGGAATATATTTACTTGGCTGTAATCAAGGGCCAGTTTTCAAAATTTTATTGGTTTCAGTGAAGAAGCTACCACTAATCAACTGTTAACATCTGCAGTACCAGTTATTGATCAAAATAATCTTTTGTGCATCTGTTTCTGTTGATAACCACTGCTCCTCATTGTATGCATTAAGAAGGGCAGGAATTGTTGCAGTGTATATATAATGCTTGAGTTAACAATAATTTGTGTAGTAATCATTTTGCACTTTGTTTGCATAATGCGAGTGATCCTAGTACAATGGTTTAATCTGTCAGCCTGCAAAAAAAAAAGGTAATCTTGGGTTATAGCATTTAGCTATCTTTGTGGGGGAAAAGATGGCTCTAGTTTTGCTGGGATGTTTTAAATGCTTACAAAACTGTTGTTGTGGTCCATGACTTAGACAACAGCACTGTTCACCCATCGAATACTTTAGAAAGTGAATCTGAGGCTATGTACCAATATTATAAATGTTCCGTGTATTAACAAATGTTTCCTGTTTTGTAGTTAGTGACATAGCTAGGTTCAAACAAAGGCAATGAGTGGTTGTAGCAATTAATTTAAACAGTATACAAAATCCCTTTATTTGGTCTGTAATGTAAGGTTATATTTTGAGAGGTTCTAATTCAAAAACTGTTTCCCATGGCAACCACAGGGCACTATAAATCTTGGAGACAAGAGTAGGGCAATTTTAACAAGATTTCTTGTAAGCTTTTTTTATTTCCAAAACAGGAACTGCTTGCTTTGCTAATAGTGTACACCTAAAGCCATGCCTCCTAGGTGAAGGAGGAAGGACTGCTTTTGTTGCAGCTTGATGATAGTGGATTAAATGCTTGCTTGTTTAACCCCCCCCCCCCCGCCCCAAGGCTTGGCCATGTGCACTTGGGAGGTCCTGCTTAAAGTGGAGCCCTGTGGGGGAAGCAGTGGAAGCACTCCCACCTGAAAACAGTCGATAAACAGCGTATACTCTCCTGAATCAGGCTAGGATAAGGAGTAATGGATTTGCCTAGCCCAAGTAGATTGTGCCTCTACATCTCAGTTGTAACTACCTGAGGAAATGAGAATCAAGCTTCATGTGTCTATCAGTTCAGGTTTCTGTCTTTTACTCTCTTGCAGTCATCTGTTAAATTCAGTTGGCACCTTCCTCAGTTCTTTCTCCAAAAATAGCCACATGAGCACACTTATGGTCAAACCAATTTAGAGCAGGCACTGAGTATTTGCATAATAGTTGACCTACACAAGGAATCAAATGTGTTCATATCTGGATCTGTTACTTTGTTACTTGATGGATATCTACCAGCAGCTTCAGCCGCTAGTAGAATTTGCTGGTTTTTGAAATAGTTCCTTTTATGCGGAAATTATGTGGTGCTGAATTTATGGTTTTTCTTTTAATCCTCTCTTGAGGAATATGTGTTTTTGCTCTATGCAAACACGAGGGAAGGAGAATGATATAAGCTGCTTTGCATCCCCATTGGGGGGAAAGGCACGATAGAAAAGAAGTAATTTTTTAAAAAGTAAATGGAATAAGAAAGTCTCTGCTGAAATTCCATCAGCTGAAGATGGTTTCTGCCTTCGTCTTGACCAACAGCCAACAAATGCAGCGGTTGGAAACCTATTACATTAGATTTATTTTTCTCTTAAATTTCTGGCCTGAACCATAAACTCAAAATAATGTAACTCATATAAGTTTCTAAATTTGCAGGGCATGCTGTGAACAATGACATTTTAAATTACACTGTCCACCTAGTAGGATTTGATGTAATAGGCTGCAAAATCCCCCAAAGCCCAGGAGACACCAATTAGGTGGGGAAGGGGCATCAAACAAGGGGTGTCTTTTGGCATTGCCCTTTAAGAGCCACTTTGACTGTAGGCTGCTTAAGTAGACAGGTTGTCAGTTCTGGCTTCCCCCATTCAGCTGCAGATGTTCAGCAGCAACAATTAACCCCCAGGGACTCACTGTCACATGCTAACACTTGAACTCCAGCCAAGACAAGTAGACAGAAGTATGTGAGTATGTGCTAAAACTCAGTATTGCTCAGTGTTTACAAAGACTTATAAAAGGAATCTTATTTCATGACCAAGAAAATTGCTGAATAAACTTATGAAAGGAATAAGATATGCTTTTATCAATCCTCCAGACAGAAAACTTGAGATGACTTTTGAAAACAATCACTTAAAAATGAAACCTATGAGAATCTCACTAAATTTCACCACAGGTCAAACCTGGGTCAAAATAATTTGTTGCAGAATTTAAAATTCAAACTGTTGTGTCTCAACCATTCATTAATGGAGCAGATTTATTTTTCTCAGTAGTTCATAGGTAATGTGTTCCTCTGTAAACTGTTTTACATGAAGGTATGGGTTTGTAATGTTTGTGATGGACAACCTGCCATGCCTACTAGGTGAAATGAGGTGAGCTATTATTTTGAGCATTGCTATTTACATTGCTTCATTTTTTCCCCAAATAGTTAAAGTTCCTCGTAATTTTCGTTTGCTGGAAGAACTTGAAGAAGGTCAGAAAGGAGTAGGAGATGGTACAGTAAGCTGGGGCCTTGAAGATGATGAAGACATGACGCTTACCAGGTGGACGGGCATGATTATTGGGCCACCAAGAGTCAGTGATACAAGTTAACTTTTTTAGCAGTAAATTAGTTTTAAAGTAGCTGAAATATTCATGGTAACCATTAAGTAAAATTTTGTAGGGCTAAACTTTTGTAATCCATGACAGGCATCATACAACCAGTAGATGTTTACAGTCTTGCTTCTTGAGAGCTGGAAGATAAAAATCTGCAAAGACTGTTTTATTCACAGTTCCTGTCATTAAGAGTAATGGATTTCTTACACACATTACATAAGCGATCAACTTTATTTTGAGGTGATGTGCCTCTAGTGGCTGCTGCTCAAACTGAACTATGTACACAGGCGGATTGCTGTCTCAGAGCTAGGCTCAGCACAGGTACAGCCCCCTGCTGGGTGTGTTCAAACTATTTAACTGGTAGCAGTAGACATCCCCTATTGCACTATAATTTCAGCTCTGTCGAGCGATTGAACTTATTCTTTAAGAAACATTAAATGCTTTCATCTGCTGTTGAGTGGCATATGTAAATAATCTTGTCTCTTGGTTGGACTGGGTTTGCAGCACTGCAAACTATTCCCTCCTTTCTTGGGGGAGGGATGCTCCTACACTGGCAGTCCAGAGTGACAAGGGAGGTGGGTAGGAGACGAGACAATGGGGCTTTCCGACTAATACATATCAAAAGATCCAGAGGAGTTAGCTGTGTTAGTCTGTTGCAGCAAAATAGTAAAAAGCCCAGTAGCACCTTTTGACTAACAAATGTTATTGTTGCATTTTGGCCCTAAATGAGGCAGCCAACGGCATGCCTCAGGAGGGGCCGCCTTTGCCTCCTCGAGAGGAGGAAGGGCTGCAGCTGCGGCCTGGCCTCCTGAAGGGGGGGGGAGGAGCTGGCGCGTCTTTAACAGCCGGCTATGCTCCTTCCTTCTCAGTTGCCACCTCGTGCTCAGTAGCTGGAGCAGCTCCGAGCACGTCTGGGAGCTTGACAAGGCCTACCTTTAGGGAGGCAGCAGCGATTGGGATCTGGCTATACGGTGACCCCAGAACAGGCTGCAGCAAGTTTAAGGTTTTTTTTTAAAAAAAACCAAAGTGGCAGTGCCTGTGAAAGGTGACCAGAGGTGGCAGGGAGTCCGGCGGGCCGGAGAGTCAAGGGCATGTTGTGACTGGAGCATTGGGCTGCATCTGCAGCTGGATCATGGGGGCCACGTTGTCGGCCTGATCTGAGCAGCTGTGTGCTGCTGCGTCAGCGGCTTGTGTCGGGCCGCATCTGTGGCTGGAGCATAGGGGCTGCACTGATGGCCTGGTCTAAAGGGCCGTGCTGGCGGCCTTATCCAGGGGGGGGTGTCGCAGCATGATCCAGCAGGCTGCTTGCTGCTGCATCCGCGGCCTGTTCGAGGAGCCATGCGGGCCTGATTTTTCTTCTTAACTCTGCTCCTCCCTCGCCCTGTTGATTCAGCCATCCCTACATGGGGAGCAGGGTGTCTGTATTTTTAAATTTAATTATTGTTTGTAGATCTGTGGGGGGGACTAGCTGACTGAGGGGCGGCAGTAGGGTAAGGCTGCCTAACCCCTCCCTCCAATTATTTGCAGGCTGCTAGGAGACCTGGTGGGTTTTATTTGCTTGGGGTTTAAATTTAAATAATTAAAAAGTGAGAGAGAGAGGGTGGTGGTGAGATATTCCCCCCCCCCTTTCCTGGCCTATATAAGGTTGGAGGCCAATTCCTCAGGGCAGCCATTTTGGGTGGTTTAGAGGCGGCCATTTTAGAGGAATTAATCAGCCATTTTGGGTTGGTGCAGCAGTGGCCATTTTACAGTTGTTACTCCAGTGGCCATTTTGGGTGGTTCAGAGGCTGGCAGTTTGAATTAAAAACAACAACAAAACACATAACAGAATGGCATCTTGGAAAGGCCAAGGCCAGTCAAAGGGCAAGGGGTCTGTGCCAAAGAGGCCTGCACCAAACGTTCCCAGGCAGGGAGTAGGGGCAGTCTCTTCATCTGAGGATGAGGAAGAAATGTCAGAGCAGCAGGCTATATTAGATAGGTTGGCTGCCCTGGAGCAAGCCAAGGGAGCTGCAGCTGCTGCCTCACGGCAGGCGGCTGCTGGGTCTGGCCACAGAAAGGAGAGCTGGGCAGAGAGAAAGAAGTTCAGGTAGGAAGTGCTTAAGCGCCTCTCTTCTCTTGAGTACAGGCCTGGTGGTGGTAAGCACGATGTTGAGCAACTGCATCCAGATGCAAGGGCAACGGGAGCGGCAATCATTGAGAAGGATGCAGCGCCGGTTGAAGCAGCACCAGTTGAAGTCGTGGATGCTGAACAGCGGGTCCCAGTGGTAAGTGGGATCCTGCACTGCAGTACAATATGATGTGGCCGTGGGGACCTTGGGGTCAGGGAGCTGGCTCTGGGGCTCCACCTGCATCACAATCAGGAACGACACCCAGCTCCAATAGTGCAGGGCAGCCATGGGCCTGGGGACCTCCCTCATCAGCCCTGCAGGCGCCTTGGGGAATGTTTCCGCCCCAAGCGCCAGGTATGCCAGCAAATCCTTGGGGTTGCTAGGGTTATCCGCCATCTTGGGCAACACCTTATGCTGCTGCATCAGCCAAGGCAGTGCCCTTTGGGGACATCGTCGCTTTACCTCTAGGGGACCATCCGTTACCAGCTACCTGAGAAAAGATCTGTAAAGGGGAGTACGTTGACCTTTTCAGCCTTCTGTATGGGGATTTGGAAAAGAAAGATGAAGAGCTGGATGACAAGGATAAGGAGATTTTGAAAAGGAGGAAGGTAGACCAGACCTGGGCAAATTGGTTGCCTGGTTTTGTAATTTACGCTGGAGTGATCTCACGTTTGCAGCCATGGAGGGCTGCAGCTCTGTTCCAGTATTTGGATATTATTTATAAGGCCTATACAGGCTTCCCTGGCCCAGCATGGCTGCAATACAATGAGGAATTCTGAATGCGAGCAGCCATGAATCCCACACTTCCATGGGATCAAATACATTGTCATCTTTGGCTTCAGGTCATGTCTCCTTCTAGGCCTAATCTTAGTGACTGCTCGCATAGTGGGCCTATGGTGCATCAGTCATGGGGGCTGCTGTTTCCCGTGAGTCCACAGGGCAGGTGGTTCAGCCCCGCTTGCTCTGTTGGGAATTTGGCTCCTACAGGGTCTGTAATAGGAAAATGTGCCTCTACAAACACAAACGCCCGTCGTGTGGGGGATCCCACTCCTTCACCGCATGTCCTAGAGGGAAGCCCCATAGGAGTCAGCGACAGCGGGGAGGGGGGCAGTCCATTCTCTGCTGGAAAAGGGTCCCAGCCCAGTAAAGCTGAAGGCACTTGAAGCTTGGCTGTGGCTGTATCCTAGGAAGGAAGACGGAGCTTATTTGTTAGAGGTTTTCAGAGTTGGGTTTCACATTCCTTTTTACATCCTGAGGGCCCCGTTTATGGCCTCTAATCTTAAATCGGTTACAGGCATGGAATCAGTGGTGCAGAGAAAGATTGCAAAGGAATTGGTTGAGGGCCGTGTTTTGGGCCCATTTTCTTCACCACCGCTTCCTAATTTGAGGGTTTCACCTCTTGGGATCGTGCCTAAGAAGGCCATGGGTGAATTTCGCCTGATTCACCACTTTTCATACCCTCGAGGTGAATCCATTAATGATGCCATCCCAGATTATCTGTGCACAGTGAGGTACACCTCATTTGACCAGGCGGTTTGTGTTGTGCAACGCTGTGGCCGTGGAGCGGACTTAGCGAAGTACGATATTAAGTCTGCATTTTTACTCCTCCCCGTGCAAGCCCGTTTTAGCTCATTTTTGACACAGAGGAAGACCACCTTAAGAGAAATACAACAGCTTGTAGGGCATCTCAACTTTGCGTGCAAAGTGGTAGCCCCGGGGCAGGCCTTTTTGCCAAGGCTTTGTGAGGCCATGGCTGGTCTGCGCCTCCCACACCACAGAGTGCGCATTAATAGCACTATGCAGGCTGATCTCACGGTTTGGCAGGAGTTCCTGACTTCCTTTAATGGAGTAACCTTTTGGAGGGAGGATTTGAAGCTCGAGGCTGAGCTCCAGGTCACTTGAGACGCAGCTGGGTCTCAGGGCTTTGGGGGTTATTTCCGCGGACATTGGTGCGCAGAGGAATGGCCTGGGGATTGGGTTACAGCTGACATTTTTGGAGTTTTTCCCCATTCTGGTGGTGGTTTGGCTGTGGGGAGATGAATTGGTGGAGCTCACAGTCCACTTCTGGTGCGACAATTTGGCAGTGGTCCACATCATCAATTCCCTCACATCCAAATCACCGTGGGTAATGTGCCTGGTCTGCACATTTACACTGTAATGCTTTAGGCTGAACACATTATTTCTAGCTAGGCGTGAGCCTGGGGTGGATAATGGGGTAGCTGATGCTCTGTCTCGCAAACAGATGGCGAGGTTTCATCAGCTTGCTCCAGATGCCGGTCATTTGCCAGCAAGGAGGCCCCTGGGGCTATGGTGGGTTGGAGGGTCGAGGCTTGCACGGCGATAGGTCTCACCATTGCACCTAGTACACGAGGAGGGTATGAACGTGCAGTTCGCAGATTCGAAGAATTTAGATCAAAGGAAGATTATCCTAAGGTCTGGCCCATTACGGTGGAGCAGTTGCTCCATTATTCTGTTTCCTTAAAGGAGGCAGGTTTGGCTGTGCACTCCATCCGGGGGCATCTTTCTGCCCTTGCATTTGCCAGCAAGGCTTTAGGTTTCCAAGAAGTCACTAGTGACTTTCAAATTAGGAAGATGCTAGAGGAGTGGACTCGGGAAAAGGGGGCTTTGAAGGACCAGAGGTGTCCTATTTCACCGGCAGTGCTTAAAGGGTTGCAGGCAACCGGGGCCAGCGGCTGCAATTCAGGTTATGAAGCCTGCCTTTTCCATGCAGCCTCATTACCTGTGGTTTTTGGAGTGCTTAGAGTAAGTGAGTTGGTTGCGCTGTACAAGACTGACCAGTCTGGCAGGGCATTGCATAATAGGGACCTCCAATTTATAGGTAAGGAGGCGCATGTCATGATTAGGGATTCT